AGGGCTCTCCGTCTCGTTGCTGAGCTGGTAGAATAGTTCACTCGCTAATGTTTCATGAGGGTGAGAAGCAAAACAGGGTGCTGTTTTTGTTTTGTCTTTAGGGTTTGTTTTAACAAATGGGTGGCTGAGGGCTGGCAGGTGGAGGTTTGTGTGTACATCACAGGTGCATGAGCTGTGTGGTGTTTTGTCCTTAAAATGCATGAGTTTTGCCCTGTCTGAGGTTGGCCATATCCATCAAAGCTGCTGTCACCTCTCCCTGAATACCTCTCGAAAAGGATTTTTGTTCAAGGTGTGAAATGCTACATTTCCGGGTGACTAAAATGGTCTCCAAGCATCCCACTAGCACCTGGCTTAAAAAGGAAAATCTGTCCCCACTTCCAGTGCATGGGACTCTGTGCAATGCAGAAGGGGATGGGAGGAAGGATCTGCTTCTGTGCAGCTGCCTTCAGGTTGTGCTGCTATTTCTTTTCTTGCTTTTTTTGTTCTTTTTACTGGGGGAGAAGTTCTGTGTTCCTTTCTGAACTCCCTAATTTTTATGTAAAGATGAAATTCAGCTTTCTCAGTAGACTTCATAGGTCTGAACAGATGGATTTTAATAGCTGTGCAGCTCACAAAATTAAATCAACTTTATTTTCATTAAAGTAGTACAGAAATTAACTTAGGCACATTAAAAACCAAGAATGTAGTGCAGACTTCTGATTAAAGCCACTGGATGTTTCTGGTTTACATGTCAGCAATAGACTGCAGCCTTTGAAGGGGCATACAGGCTGCGAGCTCAGATGCTGGGCTTTGCATGCAGGCTGGGCTTATCTCTAAAAAATCATGTAACTTCTGCAGCAAAACAAAACCCAGCATTGATTCAGCAGCATTAATTACGTTTCCTTCTGATGGAAGTGGGAGCTCTGCTGGCAGAGGAGCGCTCCCATCGGAGTCTCAGCGCTAACCCGTTTTACTCTCGATCAAGTAATTCTTGGTTGTATGCATTTAAACGATGATCTAATGCAGAGCGACTAACAAGAGGGGAGCTGAAAGCATTAATTCAGACCTGTTCCAACACGATGACTCAAATGGAGCTTGTACTGCCTGGTTTGCATTTCACTGGCACGGGGGTGGGGAATGGAAGCGGAGGCAATCAGGGAGGCTGGGGGATGTCTTTGGGTGGCACAAGGATCCTAGAGCAGCGGAACAAATTTCCACTTCTGAACGGCCCTGAAGGCTTGTGTGATGCTGTACCTAGAGGTGGTGAGGCACCTCTGTCATTTATCATAGTATCACAGAATGGTTGGTTTAGAAGTGACCTTGCAGCCTCCTCAGTCCTTGCTGTGCCCCCCACCAGCTCAGGCTACCCAAGGCCCCGTCCATGGCCTTGGGCACCTCCAGGGATAGGGTAACCACGTGTCTGGGCAGCAGTGCCAGGGCCTCACTGTCCCCTGGGTAAAGAATTTCCCCCTAATTGAGTATCTGCAGAAACCAAGGCTGTGCAGTAGAGGTGATAGAGAAGAATTTAACAACCGCTTCATCAGTCAGTGCTCATCCTGAAAACACTTAACTTAAGCCAGATCATCCTGCTTCGTATTCCATAAACAAAATAAATCAGACTGCTGACTAAGGCAATTATTATAATCCTCTCTTTGTTTGGAAGAGTCACAAGCCATTGAGAATGGAAGACAGTAACTTTAAAACAACCAAAAAGGATTAACAACCTCTCACGGTGCCCTTGTGTAGGGCGATGGCTGTGCCTGCAGTTTGCTGTCCCTCCCAAGGGAATTCAAGTTGACTTTGCTGCTCGTGTTTGACATTCTGCAGGTTTTATTGCACCTGTTACCCTAAATGTGATGTTTATGGAACTGCTTTGCTCATGCCTGGAACCTGGCAACAAATGGTTTAGGAAATGGCAGGTATAAACCACAGCATTTGGGAGAGCAGCCGGATGTTGGAGCGTAAATGTGAGTGGGGCTGAGGGAGGCAGCATGGGTGGGCTCCCTGCACCCCAACCAGCAGAGCCTGTGGGACCTGCAAAACTGGGATGATGGATGGGAGAAGTGAAGCACCCAGCTGGAGCATCAGTCTGTACACTTCTGGGGCAGAATTACAAGCTGTTAGAGACAGGGGCTTCTGGGGCACTGGAAAGACACTGCCATGGGAGGAGCCTCGTTCTGCAGTCAGGAAATCATAGAAAGATTTGGGTTGGAAGGGACCTTAAAGATCATTGTGCTCCAACCTCCCTGCCGTAGACAGGGTAGCTAACCACTAGATTAGGCTGCCCAGGGTCCCATCCAACCTGGCTCTGTGCCTTGTGAGCTCCCAGCTCTGGGCTGGCTGCACGTGGGGCAGGAAAGTGGGATTCTGTCCTGCATGCACAGCTTGGACATTGGTGTTCAGTGCTGCCATCTGATGGGTGGTAGCGCTGCACTAAGATTAATGGTATGGGCACTGGAAGTTGAGTCATGAGTTAAGTCAGAACTTTGTCTCTGCTGGTGCCTCCATGGAAAGCACTGCTGCTCCCTGGTACCTTTGGTGCAGGCATGGGATCAGCCAACACAGTAAGGGTGGCACAGCAGGGCAGGCTGCTGCACTGCTCTGCTCCCAGCAGGAGCCTGGGACTGAGGGAAGAGCCATTGATTGCTGGGAAGGAAGCAAGTCTTCCTACAGTCAGCCATACATTAAGGTTTTGTATTGGCTTAGGGCTGAATCACATGGGTTGTAATCATATGGAATCATAGAGCCGTGAATCGTGGAATGGCTTGGGTTGGAAGGGACCTCAAGGATCATCTAGCTCCAACCTCCTGCCACAAGCAGGGCTGCTGACCACTGATTCTGATACCGTACCAGTCTGCCCTGGGCTTCATCCAAGCTGGCCCTGAGCGCCTCCAGGGATGGGGCATCCACAGCTCCTCTGGGCAGCCTGTGCCAGGGCCTTGCCACACTCTCATATTCACTCCCTGCCCACCTACCTCGCCGGATTTATTACATTCAGTTGAAAGCAGTAAAAGCAGAAAAAGCAACAGTTGATTTCCTAAAATGGATGCAAATTGGCTTGTCGTATTATAAACAGTTAGGGGAGTTCAAAGAGAACTTAATGGAAAACCATAGTCTTCTCTGACTCTCTTCTATTAAAGTACAAAGTCGTAGGAAGTACACAAAATATTTGTTTTATAATAAGGGCACCGTAAAAGTAAAATGATGCAAATTAATATCTTCAAAACCAGTAATTGAAAAAATCTTTATGTAAAATCTGAACAGAAGTCACACTTATCTTGCTATAGTTGCCTCGGACGAATTCATTTCACAATAAAACATCAAACTTGTATAATTGCACCCTAAATACCTCACTAAGTGGTAATACAGATATATAAAAGCAGAGTGAAATAGCGAACAGATTTTTATGCAGTGATTTTTCTGTTCAGAAAGTTTGCAGAATAGTTTAGTACAACACAATTAGCATACTGTAATTACTGATTCGTTCAAGGTATGTTGACACTGTGAGGAATTTCTCTTCATCCGTGTTTGCTGGTAATTGTTTAACACTGCAGCATTGGACACAACACATTTTTTAGTTATACATACATGTATATATATATAAAAAAAAATGCCATCCCTCTGGTCCTTTTAACTTTGGTTAGAACGTTTACAATATTTGAGCAGTTGACTTAAAAATAACGTAATCCTTTGCAGACCCCCCCGCCCACCCCCATGGCATCTCAGTACCACTGTCGCTGCATAGATCTGCAAATATTTACATATCATTTCATAATATAGTATAAATAGCAATGTGATACCTCTGGTTAAAGAAATCAAATTACTCCCGAAGAATGAGGTGCGTGTGTGTGTGTATATATATTTATATAAGAATTTTTTAATGGCATACTAGTTTAGATTCTGTCCCATTTTGACTAAGAAACAAAACGTTTTTTTGTGAACTATTCTATAAACTAACCATTATCCTAATGTATCGGAAGGTACGCAGCTTTGAGCTGGTAATTACCTTGAATTTTGGAAGAGGAGGACAAGTGAGAGCTTATATTACAGGGGCTAATTCTGTCTCCAGAGAAACCGTGGAGTTAGTGCATGAAAATAGCTCCCAGCAAGAGGAAGCCTGAGGGGGGAGAGGGGGGGGACGACAAAGAGAGGTTTCTTCCTTCCTTCTCTCTTTCTTAACCTCCGGTTGATATTTACTTTTAATTAAGAAAAACTTGTGTTAAGGGTATTTACACATGAAAAGGTGTGGAAGTGCTGTTTGTTCGTAGGCGTGAGTCATTAGCCCGAGTGCATGAAAAGCATCATCGAGGCGAAGCAGAGAGCTGGTCGGGTTTGAACGCCTGTAACATTTAGATCATCGCACCAACCTTCCTAATTAAGCACCACCAGGTACTCTGCAAGTGCCTGGAGAGCCATCCTGGTTAATTGGTGGTGTGAACTGCTCCTGCCTGCGTTTGCTGCGAGCTCGAGCAAGGTATGTGTAAGCAAGCCAAACTGTGAGCATGGAGGTAGGAAAACTGCCTTAAAAATTAATTTGCCAGTCCCCAGTGTATCTAAATCCCCACCTGAACCTTGGTCACTTTTTTTTTTTTTATTTTTCCCTCTCCCCTTTTTACTCGAGTGGAAATGACCAGAGGAGGAAAGCCTTCCTCCAGCGTGCCTCTGAATTGAGCAGAGCCAGCTGGGATGTTTGGCATCGCACAGCTGCGGGGGAACAAATGCAGTGTATGTTCCTCTGCAGGTCTCTGTGCAGTCAGCCTCCCTCCTTCCACCCGGGCTGATTTTACTGGGGAAAGTGGAGTGTGGAGACTTGGGTATAAATGGTACGCACAGTCAGAGAGTTACATAACATGGAACATTTTACATAGTTTGAGGTGAGCGTCTTTTTAGACTTTTAAACACTAGGAGTTCAAGTTTAATGTGATCATTGCTTCTTTAACACTGAAAATATTATGGATTTATTAAAAAAAAAAAAAAAAACAACTTAAAAATACTGCACCACTCCATAAACAATGCTTCCATTGAGTAGCTTGGAAAATTAGGCTTTACGTCAACATTTGTAAAAATTAGAATCTGCTGTAGGTCCCCTACAATTTTAAAATAGGTTACTTATCTGGTTTAATTTTAAGTATTATACTTCACATTCTTTATATGGCAGCTGCTGACACTTGCATTGTCCGTAGCCGTTAATGATGATGAAGGGTCCTTCGTGGGTGGGTTCGTACTCATTGTACGGTCCTTGGTCTGACATATTTGCCATATGTAGCCGCGTTTGGGATCGGAGCTGCCTGTGGTTTTGAATCATTGAGCACTGCCTAATTCTTCTTAATGTGGGAGGGCAGCATTTCCTGGAGATGAACACTATAAAAATGATAAAAAAGAAAGAAAACAATAAAGCCATTGTCCCTGTAATTACCCTCTGAGTGAAGATGGCATTGTTTGGCTCGGGGAAGGGTTCCTCGGTGGTGACGACCATGCCTGCCGTGGTGGGGATTTCTTTGTCTCCCATATGGAAATGAGAGGAGCTGATGCCTTTCGTGGACTCGGTGGTGGGAGCGTCCGTCGGAGCCGCGGACGGGGCAGCGGTCGATGCGTTCCAGCAGAGCTGGAAGCCGTGCACGGCGTCCAGGATGTCCTCTCCCTGGGCGTGGTCGGGGCCGTGGCACAGGATGGGATGCTCCCAGCGGCCCCGGAAGGCTCCCAGCCAGGCGGCCAGCGCGCAGATCCGGGCGCTGCATTCCCACAGATTGCCCGAGAGCCCCACGGTGCTGAGCGACGGCAGCGAGCGCAGGATCTTGGAGTCCAGCGTGCTGAGCTTGTTGTTATCCAGGAGGAGGGTTTTAAGGTTAGGCATAGTTTCAAAAACTGTTAGGTCGATGGCTTTGATCTCGTTTCCAGTCAAATCGAGCTTTTCTAAGGTGCCCCAGGTCCACTCCATCCCACACGTCAAGTTGCTAATTTTGTTCCACTGCAAGAAGAGAGTGTGCAGGCTGCTCAGCCGGAGGAAATGAGCAAAATTAATCTTTGTCAGCTGGTTGTGCTCTAGGTGCAGCTCCCTCAGCTTGATTAATCCTGCAAAGCCATTGCGAGCCAAACTTCGCAAGCGGTTTGTGCTCAGATCCAGGAACTCCAGGCTACGGCAGTCCCAGAACAGGCGGACAGGGATCGTCCGCAGGGAGTTGGAGCGCAGATGCAAGGTCTGCAGCTTGCGGAGGCCGTAGAGCAGCTCGGGGTGCAGAGAGGACAACTGATTAAAAGAGAGGTCCAAATTCTGCAGGTTAAGCAGCTGGCTAAAAGTGGTGTTTGGCAAATGAAAGATTTTGTTGGAACTTAAGACTAATTCCTTAAGTTTATACAGTCCTTGAAAAGAATCTTCTCTGACTGTTGCAATTTGATTATGATCTAAGTGAAGCCAAGTAAGTTGACTGAAGCTCGCAAATTGATCCCTTTCAAGTTCAGTAATAAAATTGTGCCTCAGTGACAAACCTAGAGAGCCCTTTTCAGTGGTGTTTGGCACTGAGTGAAACCCCTGAGAGTCACAGTAAAAGAGTAGCTTCTCACAGCGACATTTTGGTGGACAAGCCATGCCCAAGGCAGGCAGCATTTTTAAAACCATGCTCATTGCATATAGTGCTGCCAGCATACGAGCCCCTAATGGCCACTTGAAATGTAAGCCTGCAGAATATAATTTAGGAAAACAACAAGATAGGATATCCTTATCAGTATACTTTGAACATCACCGTGGAAGATTTCACTGCAGATAACATTTCCATGCATTTCCAAAAAGCTTATTCTAAATGCAAGAAACAACTTAGTACTACACACAGAATACCAGCTATTACACTTAGGATGAGTCTTTGTCGGCATTACGGAGGGTTACAGCGTCACAATCAGAACACATTGCTCTCACAAGGTTCACCCCAGCAAAGCGTGCTGTAGCACCTCGCCGCTGCCTTAACACACAGCCATCATTCATTAGACAAGGGAGAGAGAAAGGCACACACTTACCCATTCTTTTGAGTACATTGGAGGTTGCATTCAGTCGTAGTTTGAGACTCAACACGGTGAGTCTGTGAAAGGCTCTAACGCGAGATAGCCTGTGAATAATTTACTGGTTTAGGGTCCTGTGATATTAGTGCAAAATTGAATCCACCGTGCTCTCTTAGAATATTCCTTTTGAAAGCGCCGGCGTGACCTCCTCTGCCAGGTCTGCAGTTTTCAAGTCGATGCTTAATAGAAGTTTTCTTCCTCGGCAGCTGCTTGGCTGTTTAATTGAAGCTCACGTTTTCTTTTTCCGCAGCTGTGGGTTCCTTTAGTCCTAACTTGTTGATGGCGGATGGGTGGCTTATTGCTGAGAGAAGCTCCTGGAGTAGCATGAGTGCATTTACTGAAAAGCTTTTCAGGGAAGCGGCACAAGAATGGGTTTGCTTATGCGCTGCGACCACGCAGGGCTGTATATAGGCTGACGTCACCTGGTGACGTTCCTTTTGTTTGGGTTTTCCAGAAGCTTTGCTGTTTTAAAGCATTGTGCTGCATACTGCGATTGTGTTTGAGACCGCTGATCGAGGAGGGGAAAAAAAATCAGCTGTTAGAGCCCTTCGTCCCGGCGATGCGAGGAGCCGGAGAGCCGCGCACCGCCCGCTCCCCCCCTGCATTCCCGCTGGCTGCGCTCACTGTGGCAGCGCAGAGCTGCAGCTGGAGCCTCGCTGCTGCTGCCGGCTGCCTGTCCAACCCGGCTGCACTGGGGATGCTCGGGGACGTGAAGTGTGCCCGACTTGGACTGAGGGCGCTGATTAGCAGCGCTTTGCAGGGAGGTGGGGCAGCTCGAGGTCCCTGCAGGAGCACGGGCGGAGGGGAGTGCTTTTTGGGACAGGGGTGCTGTCGGGGTGTGCGGTGGAGGCCCTGCGGTGAGAAAAGTGCTGGGAAATTTCTGGAAAAAAAGCAAAGCTTACCTTAGAGCACAGGAGAAAAAAAATTAATTGGAATCTAGCTTGACAGCTTGCAGTTATGAAATGAGGAAATCCATCTTATTTTTTTTTTTCTCTTGCAAACCCTGGCTTTTGTGTCACTTATTGCTGCTTACCGAAGTGTAGGAGAGTAAGTTGCGTTTACAGCAGGCGTTCCCTGCAGCTCACAGCCCTTGATCAAGGACTGGGAGCCACGGTGACGGCAGGACCTGCAGCCAGCATGCACAGTCCTGAGCTGGGCTGTGGTGCCAGCAGCCCTGCAGGGCCACAACCTGGTCCAGGGCTGCAGGCTGGGACATCACGGCTCCCGCTGTCCAGCGCAGACTGTCCTGTGGGACTTGTTGTCACCTTGAGACACGTGGCAGCAGCGCAGCACGAGGTGCTCGGCAGTGCTTGCCCTGTGGCAGTGAGGTGTCGGTGATGACCTCGGGACAGGGCTGAGCTGAGAATAGCCAATTCCCCATGCTAACAGGGAGGGAGATTAATTGTGTCAGAGGAGGTCTGAGAAGACAATGGTCATTTAGCTTCATTATTAAACTTTAGTTCCTTATTTAAGCTCAGCCTTGCTGGTTTCTGCCTGTTTTTCTTTCTTTGTCCTACAGAGCAGCTGTGCCCCTGGCTGCAGTGCTGGACCTGTGGCTGTCCCCACAGGGGAGGTGTTAAATGAAATGGAGGGATGGAGAACACAAAGCACAAAGAAAAGCAAAAGCCCACAAAACAGAAAAATAAGTAATGTAGCTATTTTTAATGTTGAACTGGGCAGTGCTAGGTGTCTGCGTTAAATTGTTCTGTCACCGTAAATATTCCAGCTTTTGCTCTAGACTGAAAGGAACATGTGTAAAGAAATGACACGGACCTATTCCAAGAGTTTTTCCGTAGTTAATATTCACTGTGCAAGAAGTACGCAGCCAAAATCCAGCCTGAGCTGCCCGTTGCCTTGGGGGAGTACAGCAGCAACGTGCCTGTAGCTGTGCTTCTCAGCACTCATCTGGTGCACTGTCCTGACCCCAGCGCTGATCTGAATGTTAATAGCACATAAATATGATAACACAATCTTTTAAGGAATGTTCCTAAGGTGTCATTTAAGAAAACTGAAAAAGCTCCGAGATGAAAAATTACTACCCTGCTGTGCCACTCTTTCCATTATTACCGAGTGGCCAAATTTGGGTACCTTTTGGAAGGGCTCTGCTTTTCTGCATCCATGCATGTTGGTAGGTTCCTCCCACGTGACGGTTGCGTAATCTGGCACGGCGTTGGGAGTTGCTGCTTGCACATGGTAAGCTGCTGCCTCGCTGAAGCTCTTGGTTCTCTGGCCTGTAAGCAAACAAGGGCTGTTTAGCACCTTGCCAGTGAGTTTCTTGTTTGGGAAACAGTGAGTGCGAGCTCTATGGGCGCTTTTCTCAGCATGAACCTGTTTTTGTGCGTGCTTGTCGTGAGACAACAGCCATTATTGAAGGCATACCTCCGATTCCTTTTAAACCTGAAAGTGTGCTGATATTCTCCTTGTGTTTTGGGAACTGTCTGGGGTGCCGAGGTGCAGCAGGCTGAGAATAGACTCCAGCTGCCTGCTTAATTCTCACCGTTGCATTTCTTCTGAGACTGCAAACTTGCTTGCATGCCAAGGGAAGCCATGGAGTAGTGCCATCTGGAGCCTCCCACCAGAACAGGCTTTGAGGTGGCATCTGCACCTCTAAAACTTGGGGGAAGAGAGGAAATGTGGCTTTCTTGAGAATAAGTGCTCTAGGACCAAAGAACCCGCTCCCTTACCTGGCTTGTTGTGCAGCAGCGGAACTGATCTTCCTGCTAAACACATGCACTCGAAGCAGAGCTGCACCCCGAGGCCAACGTTGTCATTTAGTTAGGCTGACATCTGGTGGAAGCCTTCCTGGTGCATTAAGTCCCACAAACAGCCTAATGGCACTTGATGCTGACATGGGCTGGGCAGCCTCTTTGTGCTTCTGGTGCGGAGAACGGAAGCGTGGGTGCTGCAGGCACCTGGGATTTGCACCTGAGCACACAGCTCCTGTCTGTATGGAGATGGGCATGGTGGCTGCTCCTGAACGTCAGCATGTTGGGAGTCATGGGAGAATCAGCTGCTGCTTTTTTGCCTTCTTGCTGTGCAAATAAGGCAGAGCAGGCTAGCGCAGGTGTGGCTGGGGTGTCACATGGGTTAGGTTGCTGCTGTACCAATGGACGTGCTGTGCAACCCCTATATTTCAGTGATTAGCTGTGGCTATAGGAGATTCCTTACACTTATGTCTGTAACAAGCCAGGGTGTTACTGTCTCCTCAAACATCAGATATCAGATAGATAATCACTGATGAAATTTGTGCATCATGCTCCATCACTTGCCCTTCGTGGTTGCAGCGTTATAGGCTGGATGACTGTGAAGAGGAAAGGGACCTGGGGGTGTTGGTTGATGCTTGGCTGAACATGAGCTGACAGTGTGCCCAGGTGGCTGTGAAGGCCAACGGCATCCTGGTCTGCATTAGAAATAGCGTGGCCAGCAGGAGCAGGGAGGTGATCATCCCTCTGTGCTTAGCACTGGGGAGGCCGCACATCGAGTGCTGTGTTCAGTTTTGGGCTCCTCACTGCAGGAAGGACATTGAGGCCCTGGAACGTGTGCAGAGAAGGGCAGTGAAACTGGTGAGGGGTCTGGAGCACAAGTCTTATGAGGAGCAGCTGAGGGAGCTGGGATTGTTTAGTCTGGAGAAGAGGAGGCTCAGGGGAGACCTCATGGCGCTCCACAACTTCCTGAGGGGAGGCTGTGGTGAGGAGGGCTTTGGCCTCTGCTCCCAGGCAAGGAGCAGGACACGGGGAAATGGCTGCAAGTTGTGCGTGGGGTGATTTAGGTTAGACAAAAGGAAGAACTTTTTCTCTCAGAGTGGTCAGGCACTGCAGTGGCTGCCCAGGCAGCTGGAAGAGTCGCCGTCCCTGGCAGTGCTCAAGAGGTGCATGGATGAGGAGCTGCGAGATGTGGGTTAGTGCTTGTGGTAGCAGTGGTGATGGGAGGGCGCTCGGACTGGATGATCTTGCAGGTCCAACCTTGTGATTCTATGATTCTGTGGTCCGGAATCAGCACTGTTATACCTGGAATTTGTTTGCAGCTCTGCTCTCTTGGTAATACAGCAGTATGGGCGGCCGTCCTTTGTAGGCATACAATTAGGCGGGGTGTCAAGGTGAGAATTAAGCATGTGACAAACTTGAATCTGAGCACTACATCTTTATGCCTTGCCATGAAGCACCGCTCAGCAGCCCTGCACTGATGTATGGCTTTCCTGTGCACCCCGAGGACGGAATGCCAAGCACCCATTTGTCACTTACTCAATCACCAGCATTAAGCACAGCACTGCTCCTTCCTTTGGTTAGAAGACAATTCAAAGATTACCTGAAGCAGAAATCCCTCTGCAAATGACCTTTTTTTTTTGTAGAGGGACTGCTGCAGGGTGGAGAATGCTATTCCTCAATAGCTCTCTGATCTTAGGTGAAGCACTGAGATTAATAAGGGAAGTTTTTGTTGCGTAGCTATAAAAGCATGGCTGCATAACTACATCGTAATATGTGCTCTGATTCTGGTTGCTTCCACGTAGCATTTGTTTACTGCCAGCACCGTGCTGTACATTTTCACATTTATGAGTTAGTTGCGGTTGGATTTTAACTTCGGTAGCTGCAGGAAGAGCTTGGTTTGGTTTTGTTTCTGAGTCAGATGGCAGGCCTACAAAGGGAATGCTTTGTGGACCGAGACAGTGATTCCGCTTTGCCTCTCTGTGTACAAATCCCCTTTCTCTGCTTTAAGCTGTTGGAAAAAAATGGTGAGGTTGGCTGTGAGATCTGGAAGAGCAAGGATGCGGCAGTGACTGCTTGTGCTGCCTTCCAAGCAAAGCAGCACCGATGGTGGAAGAACAAAAATTCCAAGGGTTGGGGGAAATACGTAGTTTCTAACAGCAGTTCTAGCCCTTTTTAATGACGATCTTAAATATATTTGTTCTGAGTGTATTATCTGTTGATACTGGGCAGAGCAGTAGTGTCATAATGCAAAATGACT